GTCATTAGTTGGCTTTGTGATCAGAACCACAGGGGACATTGCTACCGTGATTTGCACAAAAAGAAGGGAATATCCTCCCAGGATCCTCTCCTAGACTTTTTTTTTAGCCATTGGGGTTGGAGCTACAGACAAAGCCCATGTCTTCAAGAGCTTTTTTTTTTTTTTTAAGTTTATTTATTTTGAGGGCACCTTGGGGGGGCTCAGTCAGTTGAGTGTCTGACTTCAGCTCAGGTCATGATCTCGCAGTTCGTGGGTTCGAGCCCCGCGTTGGGCTGTGTGCTGACAGCTCAGAGCCCGGAGCCTGCTTCGGATTCTGTATATATCTCTCTCTCTCTCCTCCCCCACTGCTCACTCTCTGTCTCTCAAAAAATGAATAAACGTTAAAAAATAATTAAAAAAAAAAAAAAAGCAGTGAAGATGAGACCTGGCTGGATCCAAGCAACACATCTGCTAAGACCGATTTCTTGACTCAGGAGGTTATGGTGAGTCTGTCGGGCTAGTGGGACATTCGGCTTTGCCTGTGTAGGAAGTTAAGTGGGTGTCAATTTGAGACCCAGAATCATCCCTCGTGTGGTCACATGCCAAATTTGGCCCCTGAAGGAGAAAATATTGAGTGAGCCAAGGGCCAACAACATTTAGGGGGCAGGAGGAGGAAGAGACAGAAATTGAGACCAAAAAAGGGGTGGTCCTTGGGGCGCCTGGGTGGCTCAGTCGGTTAAGCATCTGACTTCGGCTCAAGTCATGATCTCACAGTTCGTGGGTTCGAGCCCCGTGTCAGACTCTGTGCTGACAGTACGAAGCCTGCTTCGGATTGTCTCCCTCTCCCTCTCCCTCTCCCTCTCCGTCTCCCTCTGCTCCTCCCCTGCTTGTGTGCTCTCTCTCAAAAATAAACATTAAAAAAAAGGCGGGGGGAGGGTGGTCCAACAGTAGAATTGGATAGTGTATTGTCATAGAACCAAGGGAGCAGGGCATGGCAAGAGGAAAGGAGGCCAGCCTGCCAGAAGCTTCTGAAAGGTCTGAGAAGGGTGATTGGAATGGCTGGTGACCTTTCAGAGAGCGTTCTAGAAGGTTTCATGGGAGCAGGATCCAGGGTTTGCATTCTAGGGCCCAGTCTACTATCTGCTGGTCGAGGGGCCAGACCTGTCATCACCCTGAGTGCCCATGTCCTCGTCGGCAAAGATCTCTTGAGGATTAGTGGTGCTTTGGCCATCTTTGCTTTGGCCATCTTTGTCAACCAAGGAAAGGAGGGGCCAGAAGGGGCCAGAAGGAGCATGAAGCTTCGGCCACTGGTCCTCTGCCCACGGTCTGGGGGTGGGGAGGGGGACTCTGTGTCAGAACCCTATTCCCTCTCCTCACCCCCAGGTCTGTTCCCTGCAGGGCGTTGGGTGACCCCGTCCGTCCACCAGCAGACATCAGAGAACCCCTGTGAGCACAGACCGAAAGGCCCCCTCAGCTGTTCAGTGGGGTCTAACTGTACAGGCTCCAGCCCCCAGGCCCTGTCTCCTAGCCCCCACCCCCACCCCGCTCTGCCCAGCCTTTCACCCAGTTGGCTGGTGGGGAGGACCTGGGCTCCAAGCCACCCAGGCTCTTCTCTTTTGTTTCTGATAAAGTGCAATGATCACGATGAGGTCCTGCCAAGATCCCCGGGGAAGCTGCAGTGCTCGGGAGGAGGGATTCTGTGGGGCAGGGGGAAACCATGGGAACCGCGAGACCGGCTCTGAGATCACCCCTTTTCCTGAGTGACTCTGGGGTCAGCTGGGTACTGTGAGGTTTTCTCTAAAGGAGCAGACTCACCAGCTCCTTCGAGTAGCGACAGCAATAAATAACAGAGCAGGAGAAGGACAGATGGGGGGCAAGGCAGCATTGGCCATGGGCTCCAGCCTTCTAAAGTTCCCTCTCACTTCAGCCCCTCCTCCACTCTCTCCTGGAGTGCTCCCCTCCGCCCCACCCCCTGGCTGGCCTCCCCGCTTCGCGCCCATCCTCAGCTGTGCTCACTGCCTTTTAGACCTTGGTGGCTTCTCTTGCGGCCCTGTTCTCAGCCTTCGAGGCTCCTCCCCGAGATAATTCCCGGCTCTCCCTTTCAGATGATCGATCACTCCTTCTTCTGAGCCCCATGACCTTTAAAAAATTTTTCATTACGGTTATCGATGTATTGTGTTAATCCCCCTTTGGAAAAAAAAAAAAATCACAGCCTTGCTTGCTGTTTCAGTGCACCTTTAACGGACATGAAAGCCTGTGCACTCTCCCTGAGTGCCTGCGTCATCCTCTCTTATCCTGTGAGCCAGGCTTTTTGGTTGTGGATGTCTGTTGCCACTCTTTAAAGCCGGAAAGGCTTCATTCTCTTCCTGTCGGGGCTTATGACATGCATGAAGGACTCTCAGGACTGATACCAGCAGGACACAGAGGAGGCTGACCACTGTGGCCATGGCCCGGAGGGGACCCTATGTGGCCTCCACTACCCCGCCCCCCACCTGCTGGCTAGAGTGATCTTCCTACCCCGCGACCCCCACCCTGCATCGGCTTGCTCTCCAGCAAAGTTTCTACAATGGCTCCTTTCCACTGACCTCATTAGAGAGAGGCAGGGTGATGTCTGGAAGGCGCCCGGCTGTGTCACTTGCTAGCTGTAAGCATTTCATCTTTCTTAAACCTCAGTCTCTCCACACCGTATTAGCTGTAACAAGATGGGTCCTGTTTGTCATGGAACCTGTGCCCCATCTGTTTGTCTCGCAACGGGCCAGTAAGTCGAGAGACAAGGTGTTGGGGCAAGAAAAGCAACTTTATTGGAGAATACCAGCTAACCGAGAAAATGATGAACGAATGTTCTGAAAGGCCATCTTTCTACCCCAGTGCCATCAGGAGTTTTTCGAGGGAGGGGGGGAAGCGGAAAAGAAGAAACGAGCTACAGTTGCCACCACGCTTAAGCAGTCAATCAGAAGTCTTTAACATAGGCCAGGTTGGGGGCACCTGGGTGGCTCAGTCAAACATCCCACTTTGGCTTGGATCGTGATCTCTCAGGTTTGTGGGTTTGAGCCCTGCATGTGCTGTTAGCACAGAGCCTGGAGTCTGCTTTGGATTCTGTGTCTCCCTCTTTCTCTGCCCCTCCCCTGCTCATGCTCTCTCTCTCTCTCTCTCAAAATAAATAAACATTAAAAAAAAAAAAAAAAACATAGCCCAGGTTCTTCAATTTCCCTTAAGAAACTTTAATTTCTTTTTGAGAGAGAGAGAGAAAGACAGAGCATGAGCCGGGGAGAGGCAGAGGGAGAGGGAGACACAAAATCCGAAGCAGGCCCCAGGCTCTGAGCTATCAGCACGGAGTTCGATGCAGGGCTCGAAGCCATGAACTCTGAGATCTGACCTGAGCTGAAGTCCAATGCTTAACCTGCTTAACCGACTGAACCACCCAGGCGCCCCTCCCTCAGAAACTTTAAACAATTGATAACTATAAGCTTATCGTGTGCTTATGGAGTGACAGGCAAGAATGTTCCGTATTTTGTGCAACGTGTTCTGTCTTAATTCAGTACTCCTATTAAAACCTCAGGTCAACAGATGTCCCGAGGGCTTACAGTGCCAGACAGGTCTAGTGTGGATTAACAAGCGAGGGAGAAGTGTCCAGGGCAAAGTGAATTCCAGATGGAGTCAGTTTTGCTACATGTTCACCTCGCAGGGTTGGGGGTGAGACACCCTAATCAGGAGAGCATGCCAGCGCTCGGGGACCTAGAAACCATCCCATTGAAATATGAGGGCCCCTCATTTACTCCTGATTCCCAAGGCTGTCCTCAACCCCACCCTCGGTTTTCCTGACATCCCACTTATCCTCAGTCCACCTTCAGGATCCAGGGCTCCAGGCGAGACCTTTCGCTCTGGACACCGATCCAGCTGGAGTCTGGGGGCCTGCCTCCCCTCCTAGCCTTTAGATGCCTCCATCTTTATTTCCTGGAGTCTGTATGCGACACTACTGTCCAGTGTGAGTCGTGTGTGGTCCTGTACCGCACGCCGGTTCCGTCTCCCAAAGACCGTGCGCTTCCAGAGTCCAGGGCCAGGACCGTCCGGATCACCGTCGCGCCCCTCGCTCCCCCGCCACCACCACGGGCGCCTCGCACAAAGAGGCAGGGAGGAGGTCCCGCAATTCTTTTCTGAGATCTCCGCAGCACCAGGGTTCCGAGCCCTGGGCGACGCCGAGGCCGGCTCCAGGGAGGCTGCGGGACGGCGTCAGCGTGGAAGGCGGGAGACACCAGAGTCCCGATTCCAGCGCGCGGGGGGAGGGGCGTCACCTGGCCCGGCCGCTGCGGGAGTGGGCCGGCATCAGGTGCAAAGCCCCGGAGCGGGGCGCGCGCCCGGGGGCGCGCGGGACCCTGCAGCCACCCCCGCGCCGCCGCGCGGCTCGTCTGGGCTGGGATCTCCTCCGGCGCCCCGGGGCTGGAGTGGGGGGGGGGGGGGGCGGCGGGGGAGAGGAGGTGGTGGAGGGAGGGAGGACACGTAGCTGCCTCGCCGCAGGGCTCCACTCCGCGCGAGCGGGCGGGCGGGGGGAGCCGGGGACCGCCGCTCCAGCGCGCTGGCCTTCGAAAGATCCTCCTGGGCCAATGGCAGGCGGGGCGACGCGCCCGGATTGGTGCAAGCGCTCTGCTGATCACTGTGGAAACCCGGGCGGCGGAGAACGCGGAAGGATGCGGAGCCGCGGGCGGGGGGAGCCGGCGGGGCGGGCGGAGGAGGCATCGGGGTCCTGAGCTCCCCGGGAGTTTTTACTGGAGGCGAAAGTCCACCGCGGGCTGGCGGGCGGAGGGAGGGGCGGAGGGAAGGGACCGACTGAGGGCCCTGGGAAGCCGGAGAGACTCGGGAGGGAAGGCAGGGATACTCCCGAGCGCGGGCGAGGAGGCCGTGGGGCGGGGGGGGAGGGGGCGCGGCGGGAGGAGGAGTAGGAGAAGACAAAAGCCGAAACCGAGCAGGGCCCGGGCCGCACACTCGGGCCGCCGGCGTAGGAGGCCGCAGTGCACGGGGCGTCCCGGGCGGCAGGCAGCATGGGGAAAGGGGGGAACCAGGGCGGGGGGGCCACCGAGCGCGAGGCGCCGATGCCCACCTTCAGCTGGGAGGAGATTCAGAAGCACAACCTGCGCACGGACAAGTGGCTCGTCATCGACCGCAAGGTCTACAACATCACCAAATGGTCCAGCCGGCACCCGGGGGGCCAGCGGGTCATCGGGCACTACGCCGGGGAAGATGCGACGGTAAGGCCCCGGGGGCTCCCCGCCACCTTTCTCTGCTGCAGGCGGGAGTCGGGAGCCCGGAGTCCCAGGGCTGCAGACGAGACCTCCAGCGCTGAATGGAGCCTGGGGCGTCGGGGAGGAAAGGAAAAGTGTGCCTCCTGCGCTCACCCTCCGCCCCCCAGTCCTCATCCTTTAGGACGGCCCGGGCCACCCGGCTATGGGGGTCGGATTTTGCGGCGCGGGAGGCAGCGCCGCCGTGGAGATCCGGGCGGTGGAGAAGAGTGCGGGGTCTACTGCGCGCCCTGGGACCCACGCGTCCGCTCCTCCCCCCGGGTTCACACGGAGCTAGGGACTCTCCAAAGGGGGCAATCGGGCTTTAGGGGGGGTGGCACCCCCAGCGTGGAAGATGGCGGCTCAGGGGCACCGCGGAACCGAGCGGGAGAGGGGCCAGTTGTGGGACTCAGCGCGCGTCCCTCACTCTCCAGCCAGACAAGGGGGCGGGGGAGGAAAAGGCTCGTCCAGGCCTGGCTTGCTCCTGCTGGAATCCTTGTCTAAGAAGGTCCACAGTGGCTGCCACGAAGGGACCGCCCGGGACCTCCTGTTCCCAAGCCCTCAAGGACCACCAGGGGGTCGGTTCTTGGGCCCCGGGGTGGGGAACCGGAAGGAGCGTTTGCAAAGCCCAGGTCGAGAGGGGCCTTGAGCTGCGTGGATTCAGCAGCACTAGGCTGGCTTGGCTACAGGTCCCAGCTGCACCAAGGTTACTCGCGGGCTCCTCAACTACTCAATGGTCCTCTGTTTCTAAATCCTGCCAGGAATGCCCTTTCCTCATCTGCACACCGAAAGGTATTGGGGCGATGGGGCCTCGGCAGGAGCCACAGCTGCCCATCTTACCCACACCAAAGGTGTGGCTCTGCCTCTGGGGCACCTCCCGGCCCCCCCCCCCCCCCCCCCCCCCCCCCCCGCCCCCAGTCCGAAATGCTTGCATTTCTTTAAGGTGCAGCTGGAGCCCAGTGGACTCAGATGGGAGAGAGGGAAGCGAAGAGTCAAGGAGGGAAGAAAGCCTCTCTTGGTGGCAATGAGCTGAAAGCTACTTGGGCAGGGTGAAGAGGGGAGAAGCCATGGGAGGGATACGTAGATCATTGCAGCTGGACGTTCGCTGTTCGGGGCTTTTGCTGTGCTAGCAGTATGGGCCCCTGGCGGTGCAACTTTTGATCTCCCTGCCTCTTTCAAGGCTCCTTGGGACAGGCCTAGCCAAGGAGGCCAGACCAGGCAGCTATAATCTCCGGCTGTTAATGGCTTGCTGCTTTGATGAGCAGGGTCCAGGCATATGCGAGATCCCCAGGAGGGCCCACAGGAGAAGATGCCTACAGCTTTGGGGCCCATCCGGTCTCACCTGCTGGAGAACAGTGCCCCGGGGGGCTGTAATGCGAATCATAACTTAGTGGACATGAGGTTTTCAGACCATCTGCGTTACGGCTTGGGGACCTTCCCACAAACTGTTGGGGGAAGTTGGGTAAGGGCGACTCAAGTAAAAGACCTGACTCCGGGTTGGGGTCTTTCCACTATCAAACATATTTTCTTATGTGGAAAAATAATGTATTGTGTGGCAAAGCACTTCGTAAGCTGTAAACGCTAGGAAAATGCCACGGACAAAGCATTATCAGACAAGTTGGAGAAAAATGAAGATTGTGTAAAATGAGCAACAAGGCGGCAGGGGTGGGGGGGGGGGGCAGTGGCAGCGCCTGGGTGGCTCAGTTGGTTGAGCATCTGACTCTTGAGTTTGGCTCAGGTCATAATCCCAGGGTCGTGGGATCGAGCCCCGAGTTGGGCTCCACGCCGAGTGTGGAGCCTGCTTGAGATTCTCTCTCTCCTCTCTCTCTCTCTGCCCCTCTCCCCTGCTTGTGCTCTTTCTCTCTCCCTCTCTCTCTAAAATAAAATTTTTAAAAAGTAAGCAACAAGGAATTGGGAGGAAAGAAGTTTGAATCTATGCCAGCTTTTATCAGAGTAGCAATGCCTATATACAACCCTTTCCCCCAAAGCTTACTGCCTTCTACGACAAGGCTTTTATGGAGTGGCATTCCCTAACTGGTGGTGTGGTTGCATTAACAGTGGAGTGAAAGACTGGGAAGACTCTTTCTCTCTCTCTCTCTCTCTCTCTCTCTCTCTCTGTCTGCTGTCTGGGACCAGGATGGGAAAAGGCCACAGGAAGCAGGGCTCGGAGAGGCAGGAATAGGTTAGGAATCAAGAGTTCCTTGGTTTTAAGCTGTTCAGCAGGTAGCTTTGCCCCTCAGAGCATGGACCTCTTCCTCAGAGCTTGGGGAGAGACAGAGTGTCTGGGCCATGCAAGCTTAGGGAGGGACTGGGCAGCAGACAGGGACTGCTCCCCCCCCGGAGCACTGCAGTGCACTGTTTTGAGCCCATCACAAGGCAGGAACATCCTCCCAAGAGGTCAGAAGTCAAGGAAGCCATTCTTGAGACCATTCGGGGCCTCAAGAAGGGATTTTCCTGCTCCTGGAGAAAAGACCTCAGAAGTCAGGAACACCTCTTTGTTCCTCGAAAGGACAACTGAGCCAAGGACCGTTGTCATTTGGCACTTCTGCAGAAGTTAGCACTTGGCGTTGCCTGAACTTGATTTTTGCAACTCACAGGGCACACGCCCGCGTGTTAGCTCAGCCCCACAGGTATCTCTCATTGCTCTCGGGTTTAAAGACCTCGCTCAAGTTTAAAATTTTGCTCAAGTGGCAGGGCTCAGCCCTAAGCCCAGGGTTTCTGAATCTTCCCACCTCCCCTTCTCCCATCCACCCTCCCTTCCTAGTCTTTCTTCCTCTGGCCCTCCGAACTTTCCTGACTTGGGGCTTTTCATCTTCAACTACGATTCATCTGACACACGTATTCACTGTCTCTGTGGCTTTGGGCTGGGCCCTGGGCATAAAGATGAATAATTCAGGGACGCCTGGGTGGCTCAGTTGGTGACGCGTCCGGCCCTTGGTTTGGGCTCAGGTCATGAGCGCGTGGTTCACGGAATCGAGCCCCGCGTTGGTCGGGCTCTGTGCTCATAGCAAGGGGCCTGCTTCAAGTTCTGTGTCTCCCTCTCTCTCTGCCCCTCCCCTGCTCGCATGTGCTCTCTCTCCTTCACTGTCTCTCTCAAAATCAATACACTTAAAAAAAAAAAAAAAGATGAAGAATTCAGAGAGTGACCGCATCTATTGGGTTTGCTTCACTCCTTCCTCAAGCCCCTTCCTTCTAGACACCAGCTCCCTCATTTCTGCCCCCTGTGCCTGCCTTGTCTCCAACTTCTCCTGCCCTGTCTGCTTAGGTCCCCTCTTAGAACCGAGGGAAGGCGGGAAGAGGTCGGGATTGGTTCCATGTGCGAACCTGCTCCTACGCTGTTCTGAAAAGGCACCACACTGAAAATGGAACAAATCTCTGACCTCCTATAGATAGGGCAGGGGGGGCCACGGTTTTGAGAGGCAGAGGACCTAGAATCGCACCCCAGCTTTGTGAATCCCGCGGCAAGGCACTTGCTGTGCACTTTGCGTTCTAGGTCTGTGAAATGGGAGGTCATTGCCAGGCTCAAATGGGCTGTGCGTGAGGTCGCCCCTTGAACTTGAGGACGCGCTCTGAGTGTGAGGGATCGGTACTGTACTTACTGTGTGTCCCTTGGCCTCCCGCCCGCAGGTGGGCACGTGCGTGTCCCCAGCACACATGGCAAGGGGGTTCAGGAAATAGGAGACGGAGTGTGAAGAAGAGAGACTTCAGTGACCCCATTTTTACCAAAGGAAGGGGCATTTACTGCCTGTGAAATCCGTCTTCTGGTTGTGACTGGAGGGCAGCTGTACCTCCTAGAGCTGGATCGGGACCGAGCAGTCCCGTTCCCGCTGACTGCGGTCTCAGGGAGGGTACCGTCCCCAGCTCAGCATCCTCCCACGTCTTAGCATCCGTGAGGACCTGTTGCCTTTTGCAGGCACCTGCTTCCTGTGCGACTGCACCCTTCCCACCGGGGGGTGGGGGGGCGTTGCATGGGCCAGACGTCAGCTGGCGCACTCCCCTCGAGGGCCCTCTGGCTGCCCACAGCCTCCATTGCCCCCTTTCCCTTGGCCCAGGGCCTCTGCTGTGCAGAGGAAGTCAGCGACCCCGTCTCTGGCCGGGAACTCAGGGTCCCTCCTCTGCTTCTCCCTCTTTAACCCCTCTTGTTCTCCAGAGTCCCTGCAACCTGGAAAACCTGGAATGCCCTGATTTGGCTGCTCCTGTACTTTCCCGGTCCCGGGTTAAGGCCCCAGATGTCCAAAGCCGGGCCGGAGACTAGCTTTGCTCTGCTGAGAAGGGGACACAGCCGGAAACAGATCATGGCACCCAACCGTTGGTGTGGTCGGAAGACCCTGGGGCCGGGCCAGGGAAGGTGTCTTCATGCAGAGGTTGGCTGGCGTTGGCCCTGGGTTGGTGGCAGAAGCAGGAAATGTGGCGTGCGTGTCTTCCATTTGGGAATCTTTGGTGCTTCTTCCTGCGGCCTGCCCTCCCCACCCCCCACTACACACACCTGCCCACCTGCCCTCCTGGGGAAAGTTCCAGTCTGCTCCCAACCTGTCCCCACTCCCTTCTCTTTGCCCCTGTCCCAGCCCTTCCTGGAAAGCCTTTGGCCTCCCTTCCTGTTGGGCTAGGGTAGATTCTGGTTCCAAGTCAACGTTTGCATTGCCCTGTCTTGCCTTGCCTGGGGACCCACCTTACACCAGCCAGACCCTTCTGTAACCAAACAGCTCCCGAGAACTTTCTGTAAGTGCGTGAGGCCTGCCCGCGACACTCCACGCTCCGAAGCGGGGAGGCCCAAAAAAGTGCTCAACTCTCAGGGAGGAGAAAGCTTGTTTGGATTGACGCCTGTGTACTAACATTGGAAAACTCTAGAAGTAGGCACACCTGGAATGTGACGGTGGGCTAGCAGTTTCACCTCCCTCAGCCTCTTGTCTCTAAAATAGGACCTGCCTGGGGTGCCTGGGTCAGTCAGTTAAGCATCCGACTTAACCGACTCAGGTCAGGATCTCGCGGTTCGTGAGTTCGAGCCCCGCATCGGGCTCTGTGCTGACAGCTCAGAGCTTGGATGGAGCCTGCTTCCGATTCTGTGTCTCCCTCTCTCTCTGCCCCTCCCCTGCTTGCTCTCTCTCTCTCTCAGAAATAAACATCTTAAAAATTTTTTTTAAACCTAACAAAATTAAACAGGGCCTGCCTCAGAGTTTGATAAAGATTACTGCCTTACGTACACAAAGCCTGTGACTCAGTGGCTGTGTCAGTGTGGGGTGGTTCCACAGTCACCAGCACGGGTGCTGGAGAAGGTGAAGTGTTCTGAGGTCTTAGAAGCACGAGCAAAGTTGCACCAAACGGACCAAGAAGAGTCTGAACGTGATTGCAGAGTGGAAAGGCTTCCGCGGGTCAGAGAGAGCCCAGCTGGGGGGTCCTGGGCCCTCGCACTCACTTGCGAGCCCCTCCTAGGCACCGGGGTTGCTCGTAGTGAACCAGACAGTTGGGGTCCTTCCCTTGTGGAGCGCGTATCCTTGTGGGAGAGACCAGCGAGAAGGAAGTGAGTACATACAATGGCTTGCGAATTCGACAACTGTGAGGAAGACCGCAAAACAGGGCGAGGCCCAGAGAAAGGGTGGGACTGGAGGGTGGTTGGGAAAAGCCAGCCTGGGGACACTATGGGAGCAGGGCTCCAGACAGAAGGAAGAGCCGTGCAGAGACCCCGGCATGGGCACGAGCTTGGTGGGTTCGTGGGTGGTCCCCCCAGGCCTGCTCAGAAAGCTGTCAGAACTACTTGCAGACTTGAGCTTCACCTCCCAGCGAGGAGTAGAGAGCAGCCGGCCCTCAGGAAACTGCCTCACCAAGGACTTCCTGTCATTTCTCGAAAGCCGTGGTCTGATGTGAGGACGGCCAATGAAGAGGCTTCTGTAGGCCCTCACTGGAGGGCAGCGTTGCCTCCACGGCACCGCCGATGCCGGGGCCCTGCCTTCAAAGCTCCCGGCCGGCCTTTCCCCGGGGGGCCTCGAACTTGGCGCTGGGAAGGTCCTCACTTCTCAGAGGGCGCTGAGGCTGGCCCAGAGTGGCGGAGCTGGTCAGCGCCGGCCCCCAGGCCCCCTCCCCTCCTGCCCGGGGCCCAGACCAGCATCACATCTCTGCTCTGAAAATATACTTGATCTGAGCCCTTTCTGTTCAGCTAGTGGGGCATGGACATTTTTTTTTTTCCTCCAAAACTGCACAAAGTGTGGCTTTGTAAGTCTGTTCTAGATACAAATGGAATAAAGACTGGGCAAAAAGACTTGATGCCAGGGATGCAGTGAGGGAGCGGGAGAGGCCTGGCGATTGCTGTCGTGAATACCTGTATTTTCTCAACCAAGATCGCAACATTTTGCCACTTTTGCATTTCCCCTCTTTTTTTTTTTTTTTAACGTTTATTTATTTTTTGGGGACAGAGAGAGACAGAGCATGAACGGGGGAGGGGCAGAGAGAGAGGGAGACACAGAATCAGAAACAGGCTCCAGGCTCTGAGCCATCAGCCCAGAGCCTGACGCGGGGCTCGAACTCACGGACCGCGAGATCGTGACCTGGCTGAAGTCGGACGCTTAACTGACCGCGCCACCCAGGCGCCCCTGCATTTCCCCTCTTAATGCGCGTGCGATTTTCTTTGCAACCTCGGCCCTAGATTCTTCACCACCTCCCCCTAAGAATAATCACAATGCTTTTGCTGCTATTAAGAAAACTAATAATAACTCCTTAATGTGATCAGATGTCCGGCTCATATTCAAATTTTCTCATTCAACTCCCAAAATGTCTTGGAAAACGGTTTTTTTTTTCTCCCCTTCCCCCTCCAAATATGAGCCTTTCAAATCAAGCATTGCTGATTTTTAAAAAGAATTTTAAAAAAAATTTTAAAAAGATTGCTTTTTAAAAATAAATGTTTCTTCATTTAAAAAAATTTCTTTAATCTTTATTTTTGAGAGAGAGACAGAGTGTGAGCAGGGGAGGAGCGGAGAGAGAAGGAGACACAGAATCCGAAGCAGGCTCCGGGCCCCGAGCTGTCGGCACAGAGCCCGACACGGGGCTCGAACTCACGGACCGTGAGATCATGACCTGAGCTGAAGTCGGACGCTCAACCGACTGAGCCACCCAGGCGCCCCAAGCATTGCTGTTTTTATATCTTTTTGTCTTATCTTTGTCGGTTTTTAAAAATCGAAACACCCACCTCCCAACACGCACACGCACACGCACACGCACACTTTTTTCTCCACTACGGTGACATTTCTGATGATTTCTCATGGCGTCATTCTAGTCCCCTGCCCTGCAATGTCTCAGTTTGGTTCACTGCAGGGTAAATGTTGTTGACCACTGGGACAGCACGTTGTAGCCCACGAGGGGGACCTGATGCCAGCTCACCTCTAATGGAACTGCTGCATCTGTTATGAGGTGGCTTAGATAATAATGTACGTAACAGAGGGGCGCCTGGGTGGCTCAGTCGGTTAAGCGTCCAACTTCGGCTTGGGTCATGAGCTCATGATTCGTGGGTTCAAGCCCCCCACGTCGGGCTCTGTGCTGACAGCTCAGCTTCGCACAATCTGCTTCGGATTCTGTGTCTCCTCTCTCCGCCTCTTTTCCACTCGTGCTCTGACTCTCTCTCAAAAAATAAACATTAAAAAATAAAAATAAAAAAGTAATGGACATAACAGAAAAAAACCTGGAGAAAAGGAACTAAAATATTAACGATGGTGCTCACCGTCTGGGTGGTATTTATTTTTCTCTTTATTCTTCTGTACATTCCTTAAATTTGCCCAAACTAGGCATGCTATTACTTTATAATCAGAATTACCATAATATGATGGTATGATATTACAATATTATTTTTTTATTTTAAAGGCAATGTATCCGTGTTAGAGAAAGTTGGGAAAATAATGAAATAAACTTAACACGTAATAGTGTAAGGCTTCTCCAAGGTTTTTTTTCATAATTTCAGTAATTATTTTCATACTTTTTCAAATTACGAAAACTTTTTTTATTTTTTCAGAAATGGTTTTCACCTAGTTCTGTAATTGTGTTTGGTTTGACGTGATCTCCTGAGCACGTTTTCTGTGTCGTAGCAGGCTCCAGCCCGGTGCTGTTGGCGGCTAGCCAGGTGCACAGCCTGGTGGGTGGTCCAGGCACCCCTTGGAGGGATTCTACGGAGAATCTCATCCTTCCTGGGCTCTGCCCAGCTCTGTGCCCGCACAGTGCCTCTCCCTGGAGGGGCGCATTTTTCTGACTCACTCGGCGGCATCCTGAATGTCCGCATGCACCCTTGGTGAGCTCGGGGTGGCGACCCAGGCATGCCGCCGGTGCAGCTGGGCACAGAGGGATCTACCAAGATGAGGCTGGAGAGAACATTTAGGGCCAGGTCCCGGGAGGCCTCAATCAATGGCTAAGTGGGGACACAGAGAGCCGGTGCTGGTGAGCCCTTCCTTCCCTGGGTTGAGGCCCCCACTCACCACCTGCTTTCCTGCTCCCCAGGATGCCTTCCGAGCCTTCCACCGTGACCTTGATTTTGTGCACAAGTTCATGAAGCCTCTGCTGATCGGAGAGCTGGCCCCGGAAGAGCCCGGCCAGGACCATGGCAAGAATGTGAGTGTGCCCAGACCAAGAAAGGAAGGGAGGGTGTGTGGGGAGAGGGGGAGGTGCTCGCCCCAAGACCGAGAGTGCCGGGGTGGGCCAAGGGAGCTTTATGTCAGTCCAGAAGAGCCACTGCCCAATATCTGGGGTCAGAGAACACCCAGAGGCTCTGCAGTGAGCCCTCTCCTCTCGCTGCCAGCCTGGGCTGGCTCCCTACCTTCGAGTAATTCATTCCCCACCTCTTCACCTCCAGGGTCTCAGGTGAGCTAGGCTGGCACAGGGTCCTTCCTTCTTGTCCAGCCCCTGAACCCCCCTTCCCCTCCCCCCCCCCCACACCATTTTCTCTCTCCTTCCCTGGGAAATACAGGCCATTCCTTGTGCCCTTCTAAGGTCAACCTCCCTTCTGCCCTGGATCTCCACTGCTCTGCCCCTACTCTCCCCTTTCCCTCGAGGTCTGAGCGGGGAGATTGTCTTCACCCCTCCCTGGAGCTGACCTGGGGCTCCTTCCTCCCCCCTCCCCCCTGCACCGCAGGCAGGCGGCTTCTCTCCTCTCCACAGTGTCCTGTGGGTTCCCTCCTTCCTGGCCTTGCTTCTCTGGCCCCCACCTTGTTTCCCTGCTGCTTAAACGGTTGGCAGATTCTTCGACATTTATCACCCAGGCTCCCAAACCTGGCTTTCTCCATGCACGCCCCGCCCCATCTACCCTTTCAAAGCACCCTCTCTCCTTCCCTGCCTGCCCTACCCCTGCCTCCCAGCCCCCTTCTGTCTCCCAGTCACGTTCGTTTCCCCAGAGCCACCCCCAACTCCTCCCTGGTCTCCGGGGCCCCACATCCCCAGTGCCCATCAGGTGTCCTGCCTCCCTGAGCTGTCTGCTTTGTCTCCCCCACCGCAATCCCCTCAAGACTCGACAGAGTGCCCAGAACAAGTCAAGGCAGTGTCGGGGAGTGGGAAATGCAAGCTTGCATGTGCCTCTGTGTGTGTGTGTGTGTGTGTGTGTGTGTGTGTTAATATATACATATCCATAGCATCAACTTTACCATTTTAACCGTTTTTAGATGCACAGTTCAGTGGCTTTGAGTGCATTCAAACTTTGTCATGCAAACTTTACCACCACCCACGTCCAGAACTCTTTCCCCATTCCAAACTGCTACTGTCCCCGTTAGACATGAACTCCCCGGTCTCCCTCCCGCCAGCCGCGGTCAACACCATTCTACATTCTGTCTGTGATATGCCCGCTCCGGGTAACTCAGTTGAGTGGAATCATACAATATTTGTCCGTTGGCGTCTGGCTTAATATCACAGAGCACGATGTCTTCAGGGTTCATCCGTGCGGCAGCAGGTGTCAGATTCTCCTTCCTTTTTGAGGCTGAGTGATATTCCACTGTGTGGATGCACCACGTTCTCCACTGATGGAGGTCTGGGTTGCTTCTGCCTTTGGCCTTGTGAATAATGTCACTGTGAACACGGTGTGTACAAGGCAGGCTTTTGAGTCGAGTCCTTTCTCCTCTACTCGACTGGCTGTGGCCACACGGTGCGGTCCCCAGGGCTGCGGAGGCCCAGGCGGGTGCCGTGGAGGCCCCTGATGCGGTGCACGGTGGCCGGGCTCCCTGGGGTCACAGGCTTGTGGATCGGCCCCTCTGGCCACCGCTTCTCTGGGCCAGAAGACGTCGGTCCCCTCCAGAGCAGCCAGGTGGCCGACACCTTCCCTGTGCTCTTGTTCAACAGTCCCAGATCACGGAGGACTTCCGGGCCCTGAGGAAGACCGCTGAGGATATGAACCTGTTTAAGAGCAACCACCTGTTCTTCCTCCTCCTCCTGGCCCACATCATTGCCATGGAGAGCATCGCCTGGTTCACCATCTTTTACTTTGGCAATGGCTGGATTCCAACCGTCATCACGGCCTTTGTCCTTGCTACCTCTCAGGTGAAGTGTGACACCCTCACCGGTCACCGGAAGCCCCCGCCCCAACAGCCCCCCTCCCCCGCCTCCAGCTCACAGAGGCCGGTTACGGGTGAAAGCTGGCACTGTGACAGCATCTCTCTCCCCAGGCCCAAGCTGGGTGGCTGCAACACGATTATGGCCACCTGTCAGTCTACAAGAAGTCCACATGGAACCACTTCGTCCACAAGTTCATCATTGGCCACTTAAAGGTAAATACCAGCAGCCCTGGGCGTCCACCCATCAGTCAGCGGTTGGCACGGCACCATCTCACTTTGTGGAAGCCAGGTCTCCCCTTGGATCGGTGGCCGTGGCCACAGGGTAACGAGGCAGAGCCACCTGTGAGCAGTCTCTTCCCACCGGGCTGCTCTGGGCTCTGGGACTGAGCACATCCTGCATTTCTCTGACCTTCCGAGCCCTGTCTCCATATTAAATTAGACCCACAAAACCAGCAAAAAAAAAAAAAAAAAAAAATCCCAGAGGGCAGGTGTATCCTGCTTTTGTATATTGACTCAATCGATTATATTGTTTACTCCTTATCTAAAGCCTTATCTAGTAAATTCCTTTTAATCTCGAAGGGAGATATTGTCATAGAAGTCTTTAGATAAAGGACATCAAATAGCGTGATGATCAGCTGAGCCCAAGGGCCAGTGCTGTTTATTTTTTATTAAAAAAAATTTTTTTTAATGTTTATTTACTTTGGAGAGAGACAGAGCATGAGCAGGGGAGGGGCAGAGAGAGAGGGAGACAGAGTCCGAAGCAGGCTCCAGGCTCTGAGCTGTCAGCCCCGACGTGGGGCTTGAACCCACAGTCATCGAGATCATGACCTGAGCCGAAGTAGGAGGCCCAGCTCACTGAGCCACCCAGGCGCCCCGGGCCAGTGCTGTTTAAAGCTCATGAGTAAATAGGTCCTCCTTTCTCACCTCCTTGCAGATGAGGGGGTGTCCCCACAAAGCTTTACAGTGAGGCAAGTTGAGAAGAGGACAGGCTGGCCTTGCCCGTGACCTTGTGCTCATTTGATAGCCGTATGTCCTTGGTTTTGGAAATAAGTCCTTGCCAGCTCATTCTGAAACAAATCATCCCCCACTCAGCCCTTCCCCAGCAGCCCCCAGCTGCTCCCTAAGAAAGGCTGTGCCCTAAACAATTCCATCCCTCCTCACCCTGGCGTGGGAAGAGCTACATGTGTGGATTAAGCATGTGTCCCTGCAACTCAGGCTGCGCGGAGCCCTTGGCTTGTCGGCTGCGGGTCTGGTTGGGGGTGAACTGGCAACGAACTAGTAACGAGTTCCACAGCAGCTTGCCTCGCCCTGAGCCTGAAGGGGCCTGAGAACCTGGTTTCTTTCCAAACATTCAGGGGGGAAGGGAGAGGGTGCGTATAGTGGAGCGCTTTGTTTTGTTTTATACTCTCTCCTGCTGGAGAAAACCCTCCTCCGTATTGGAAAGTAACATTTCACTCCCAACCGGTGTCAGCCCCACACGCTTAACAAAGATGGGCCGGGCCGCCGTGTCCTGTTTCCAGACGCCGGGTGGGAGCCGGGAGGGAAGGCCTTTCCTGCCTGATGTCCCTCGGTCTTTGAAGGGCCCTGGAGCCTCGCTCTTACGTCAGATGGAAGACGAGGCCAGGACAGAGGACATGAGTTCATGAAATCAGAACCCTGGCACAATGGGCAGAGGTCGGGGACATGGGTTCCGCTCGTGCCTCGCCAGCCCTCCGCTAACCGTGTCCTTCCGGCTGTGTCTAGGCTAGTGGCACAGGCATGCAGTTCACCCCAGGGTGCTCTGGAGCCAGGAGGGTAACGGCTTGCCTGAAATCGTTCGGGCACCCTGTAGTCACACAGCGGCAGACAAGTCTTGTAGGCCCACCTGTTCGTCTGGTCCCTTTGCTGGGAAAAAAGGGGGCTGGCTGCAGGGAGGTCCCCAGGTGCCCTGCCACTTGGATGTTTTAGCACAAGCCGGTGAGGACGGAGAACGGCGGGCCGGGAGCCTCGAGGAGCTGGGACCTGATCCTTACTGGCACCGTGCTGTGCTCCAGGATTCCAGTGTGAGCTCCCCACATCCCGAGGGCCCCCTCTCCTTCAGCCCTGTCACTTCCAGTGGACAAGAGTTCTGAGCCATCACGCCTCTGTTGAAAACCCTTTATTTGTTATTTAAAAAAAAATTTTTTTTTTTTGTAATGTTTATTTTTGAGTGACAGAGCATGAGTCGGGGACGGGCAGAGAGAGAGGGAGAGACAGAATCCGAAACAGGCTCCGGGCTCTGAGCTGTTGGCACAGAGCCCGACACGGGACTCAAACTCACGGACCATGAGATCATGAGCTGAGCTGAAGTCAGACACTCAACCGACTGAGCCACCCAGGCACCCCTGTTTAAAACCCTTTAATCGGTACTCTGCATCTGGAGATGGAAACCAGAAAACCGGCAGCCTTTTCAGTACATCATCTCGGGCCACCAGGACTAGGGTTAAGGCGAGGGAGGCACTTGCCTCGCGCACACAATTTCGGGGGACACCAAAAGACTCAGTAATCGACATTTGAATATGTTTTTTTAAAAAACGAAATTAATGCAAAAAACTTGCCCATGAACAAAACTTGCCCATGCACACAATTTCGGGGGACACCAAAAGACTCAGTAATCGACATTTGAATATGTTTTTTTAAAAAACGAAATTAATGCAGAAAACTTGCCCATGAACAAAATAGCAGCATTTTAAAGAAAGGTCAGGGCTGTGCTGAGCCATATTGGAACCTGAGACAAAAGGGAGGAAAGATCTGGGGCGGCACCCGGGTGGCTCAAGTTGGCTAAGCGTCTGACTCTTGATTTTGGCTCAGGTCACGGTCTCGCGGTCCGTGGGTTCGAGCCCCGCGTCGGGCCCTGTGCTGATGGCTTGGAGCCGGGGGCCTGCTTCAAGTTCTGTGTCTCCCTCTCTCTCTGCCCCTCCCCTGCTCGCGCTCTGTCTCCCTGTCTCTCTCTCTCAAAACTAAATCAACATTTAAAAAAATGAAAAATAAAGGGGCGCCTGGGTGGCTCAGTCGGTTGGGTGGCCGACTACAGCTCGTGTCATGATCTCGCGGTCTGTGAGTTCGAGCCCTGCACCAGGCTCTATGCTGAGAGCTCAGAGCCTGGAGCCTGCTTCCGATTCTGTGTCTCCCTCTCTCTCTGCCCTTCCCTGCTTGCTCTCTGGTCTCTCTTCTTCTCAAAAATAATAAACATTAAAAAAATAATAAAAAATGAAAAAAAAAAAAAAAGAAGAAGGTGAGGCGAACCAAAAGTAGATCCAGAAACTCTTGTTGATGCATTTGCTTGCTTCATTACAGCCAGGGGTACACGTTTTTCCTTTTCCCTCAGTCTCTGATATAGCTCGACCCCGGGATTACTGGCCGCGATCCTGGGTCTCCGACTCAACCGAAGGGCTTTTGGCTTCTGGAACAGTCCACACCACCCCTTCCCCGACCCTCAAGGCCTGCCCCCAGCCTCCTCCCTCTGTCTGGAAAGCACCTGTCACTCACTCTGCCAGGCCCCCTCCTGCCCAGCCTGCAGAGAGAGCCAGTCCCCTCCTCCTGCAGGTTTGCTTCTCTTCCTGGGCCCCATCTCAGTGTGCTAGGGTGCCTTCCTCTCCTTCCCTAGTCAGGGGCTTGCCTCTGGATCGCTCTGCCTAGTGAAGAATGGAAAAGAATCACAGCAGGGGAACAGCAAGGTCAAACAACATTTTGTCTCTGATCTGCCCAGAGAGTGAGATAGCTCTCGGGCAGTCGGGCAGTCGGTCACTGAGTCATCCCCGGTGGCGGTGGCGGGGGAGGGGGGGCGGTTTCGCAGTTCAGCCTTCTTTCTTTCACTTATTCATTCAACAAACATCGCTGGGTTGGTGTATCCTGAACAGCATGGCTTGCTCCTCAATTTCTTTGTGCCAGAGACTTTTCCATATGACCTTCCCCAGGAGTTGGGTTCCTTCCTTCTGGCTGGAAAGGCGAATGTGTCATCTGATTATCTGATTTCCCAGTCCTCTGAACTCTCACTCACTGTCTTTTTTTTTTTTTTTTTTGGCTCTGATGGGTTTTGAGACTCACCTGCTCACGGGTCTCCACAAAGGCTACAGCTGCGGGTGGCTGTGCCAGCCCATGGCTCTTAGTGTCCAGAGGTCGTGTGTGTGCCAAAAGTATCTTCCAAGTAAAATATTTGTTTTAGCAATGAGGCCTTTTTGCAGATGGCCGGACCCTTGGCCAAAGAGTTGATTGATCCAGAAGTAGTTCACCAGTAAAGAGACAATCATCAGGAAGGTCTTAATTTCCTTTTGTGGGCCACAGGGCAACTTTGGGGGATGGGCATGTCTCCAAAGTGTGGCAAGAGCTGGAGTTGGTGAGCCAGAACTTTCTGACCTTGCAGGACGTGCTTACCTAATGCTTCTTGTCTCTTAGAATCATGGTGTTATATTTACATATTAGAACTGGGAAGCTATTACCTGTTCCTGTTAGGGGTCATTTCTTAAATCCTCCTTCTGGCCTCCCGGGTGTGACCTCACCCCTCGGTACAGCAGCCTATCCGGCTGTCGGGTTGCCTCTTGCCGACGGCTTATGGTATGTGCTCAGATTTATGCAACCGTCGTTTGGGGGAACATCTTCATCACTCCCAAAAGAAACCTCAAAGCTCATGGCCACCCCCCTTCCAACCCCCTCATCCCTCCCTCCCATCCCCAACCCCAGCCCTAGGCGACCACGGCTCCTTCTATGTCTAGATTCTCTATTCCAGACCTTTCATATAAATGGAATCACGTACGTGGTCCTTTGTGTCTGCCTTCACCCACTTACCATGACGTTCTCAAGGCTCCCCCGCGTTGCAGCAGATATCCGTGCCTCACACCTTTTTATGGCGTGGCCAAACGGTATCCCGTCATGCGGATCAACTACGTTTTATTTATCCAGCCATCAGGCTGACGGACATTGGGTTGTTTCCACTTTTGGGTTCTTTTGAATAACGGGAACATCGGTGTCCAATTTTGTGTGGCCGTGTTTTCATTTCTCTTGGGTACCTGCCTCCGAGTGGGATCCCGGGCCAAAGAGTAGAGACCACTTCTTACCGTCTCCTGAAACAGAAGTGTTTCTCCTTGTGGAACGTGGCATGTGGGGGACATACAGAGGATGCGGTTGGGGGGGGGGAGGCTCACACCTGGTGCTGGTAGAGTCCAGAGGCCACCCCACACCTGCCAAGGCGCCCGCCTAGCACTAGCTGTCCTTGCCCGCCATCGCTGAAGGCGATGGGAAGACGGGCCTGGAGGGGTGGCATGGCTTGGCTCCACCCAGAAGTCCTGGCCTCTGGGGCCGCCCAGCGCTCTGGACTTAGTCCCGGCAGGACTGCATTCTGATGTTTGGGGGGCGGGGGGTGCCCAAGGCCCCGTGTATGATGGTGAAGTCAACCCTGAGCACTGGCGGTCCTAAGAACTGGTCCCCCCCCACCCCCCCGCCAGACAACTGTGCCACTCACCCCGTCTTCCCCCACAGGGTGCTTCCGCCAACTGGTGGAACCATCGTCACTTCCAGCATCACGCCAAGCCCAACATCTTCCACAAGGATCCGGATGTGAACATGCTGCATGTGTTTGTCCTGGGCGAATGGCAGCCCGTTGAGGTACGATGAAGGGTCAGTGTTGATGTGGGAAGTGTTTGGCCCGAGGGGGAACCAGGGAAGGAATCCTGCGGGTTGAATAGTCATCCAAACGCATCTGCATCTAATGCGTACGTGGAAACCTTTCCTGAATTACTCAAGCTGGAATTTCTGTGGCGTGGCCTCACATACAAATAACAGATCAGCTCCTTATCGGTGTTAGAGGCCTCTCTCCCTCCTGTGGGCTGGGGGAGAATGCTTCCTGGCTTGTTTCTTCCTGGGGGCAAGGGAAACCTGATTCCGGTTTCGCGGGGAGGCACAGTCCCAGGGCTCAGGCGCGGTCCCCCAAGATCAGCTCAGGAAGTCTTATTTGGAGAGTCAGTCCTCGATGCTGGGAGGGACCTTGGCCAACCTGCTTCACCATAGGTGACAAAGTGAGGCTCAGCGGAAGGAGGGGGTGTGTTCAGGATCACATGGGTTAGTGGCTAGTCTGGGACGAGGCCCCAGATCTGACAGCCAGGTCCTTTCCCTTCCACACTACCACACTGCCTTATTTTTATATTCGTTCCTTTTTTTTTATTATAAATCTAGAACTTACCCATTACAAGCATTTAAGTAGTACAGAAATACACCAAATGACAAAGCGAATCTCCTGTTACCTCCATTGTCCTCCTTTGCCCCAAAGATCTTACCCCTGAGGGTGACCCCTAATGACAACATAGCATATACATTCTTCCAGATTTCTTTTTTAGAAACCAAGATTAAAACTTAGACATTCTTGGGGCCCCTGGGTGGCTCCGTCGATTAAGTGTCTGACTCTTGATATCGGCTCAGATCCTGATCTCATAGTCATAGGATCGAGCCCCAAGTTGGGCTCCGTGCTGACAGTGTAGAGCCTGCTTGGGATTCTCTCTCCCTCTTTCCCTCTGCCCCTCCCCCACTCGTACTCCCTGGCATGCGTTCCCTCTCTCTCTCTCTCTCTCTCTCTCTCTCTCTCTCTCTTGTTCTTTCACTCTCAAAAATAAACTTTAGGGGTGCCTGGGTGGCTCGGCCTGTTAAACATCCAACTTCGGCTCAGGTCATGATCTCACAGTTCGTGGGTTTGAGCCCCGTGTCGGGCTCTGTGCTGACAGCTGGGAGCCTGGAGCCCGCTTTGGATTCTGTGTCTCCCTCTCTCTCTGCGCCTCTGCTGCTCACACTCTGTCTCTCTGTCTCTCTCTGTCTCTCTCTCTCAAAAATAAATAAATGTTTAAAATAAGAAAGAAAGAAAGAAAGAAAGAAAGAAAGAAAGAAACTTAAAAAAAAAACAAACGACAAAGTAAACAACCTTAGACATTCTATCCTGCCCCTTGCCACCTTACCAAACATGGACCCCTTTCTGGGAGTCCCAAGTGCATCAGCCTTCGCCGGGGTCTGGCCAGTGCTCTGGTGTATTTCTATACCATAACACAACCCATGCTATTTTATAAGACAGGAAAATACATTACTAATTCTCAACTTCTCTTCTCTAGGGTTTAATTTACAAAAAAAAAAAAAAAAAATCTACATATGCTTTGCTGTTTGTAAATATGGTGGTGAGATGAGTTTAGGAGATTTTTTCGTTGTTCTTGTACAGCTCATAAGCGTCACGCTGCCGTGCACAGAGTAGGGACTCCGTAAGCATTTGTCAAGAGACGCGCATCAAGGAAGGAGAGGGGCCTGGGATTCCCAGCGGTGCTGTGGTGTTCCCGACGATATTGGCATCCAAGCCTCGGAGCAAGGAAGGGAGAGAGCCTGTTCCTCCAGTTCTGGCTCTCACCCTGTCTTTCCCATTTCAGTTCCACCCAAGAGAACATCTGAGCAGAAACATGGGTTTTCCGTGGCATGGTCAATGCAGAGGAAATTAGCCCAAGTTCAGTGCTTTGGAAGCGAGGAGCCTCTCTGGCCAGGCAGGGACTATATTCTCTGCCGAAGCACAAGCTTGCCCTGTTTCTTCTAGGAAACAGTTTGCTAGCTTTGATGTGAGGTGTCCGGATAGCGGGGCCGACGAACTTGGGGCCTCGATGAGTGAAGACAAAGGCTTCCCTTTCTCCCTGAGGCTTCATGTTGTAGAGTCCTCGGCTGTCCTGCCAGATGCTCTCTGTGTCCCTAACAACACAAATCCAGTCTCACCAGCTCTGCTGGCAGGAAGCCTTTTTTCCTCTCCGTGTGGTGGCCAGGGAAACCTCTTTCAACATCTCGTCTCCGTAGACACTTCTGGAACACCAGCTTTGGGGCAGGTGCTGGGGAGGGAAGGTTCGGGGATCTGGTTATCGGATGGCCGGTAGCATTTGAGAGACCACAGCCGGGGCCACGGGGGCTCTGTGGAAATCCTCTGCTTTGACCCACGTGTCGAGGAAAAGGCCAGATGTCTGCTGGGTTCCTGACCCAGCCGTGCCCCGGTGTCCACAGGACCCTGCTGCCCTGGAAGGGACCCTGGTGACCATGGGTCTGATGACATTGTCTCAGGCCGGGCCCACATACCACACACCCCACTCACCCCAGGGCCAGCCACCTGGCCCCAGATGGCCAGGTCTCAAGGTCTCTCTCTCTCTCTCTTTTTTTTTTAACGTTTATTCCTTTATTTTGAGAGAGAGGAAGTGGGGGAGGGGCAGAGAGAGAATCCCAAGCAGGCTCTGAGAACTCACGACCTCACAAACCGTGAGATCATGACCTGAGCCAAAAATCGAGTCAGAAGCTCGACTCGACGCCCCCAGGCCTTGGGATCTTGAGAAAGCCTCTGGCCTCCAGAGCAAGGAGGCTGGGGCTCTTATCTCCAGGCCCCGATAAACAGACCGGCTCCAAAGGGCTGCCCGGCGCGCAGAAAGGTGAGCAGGGTGGGCCTCTTAGTTATCTGCCTTCTGCTCTTCTTTATGACTTTCAGGAGGATTTTGTTCGTTTTATGTACCAAGATGTATTCATTTCTTCCCCTTCTGCAGATTCCTTTCATTTCTTTTATGCTTAGAAAGTTCTTAAAAAAAAAAAAAAAAAAAAAGATTTTAAATAATCTCTACACCCTATGTGGGGTTTGAACCCACAACCTCAAAATCAAGAGTTGCACACTTTACCGACTGAGCCGGGCAGGCACCCCAAGAAAGTTCTTCGTACATATTATTTTCAGCGTCTTAGGGCTTCACTTTGAATTATTTAACTTTGGCCGAAGAGGCTGTGGGTATGGCTGACGTCCCCCCTCCGCAGTTGTCTGGAGTCAGCCAGTTTTTTCTAGCACCACCCCTGTCAGCGCGCAAGGCCCTTCCCATGTGGCGACGACAGAGCGGGGTAAGGGGGGCTCCCCCAAGCCCTGCGCCTGGGCTGGGCTGTCTGGCCTCAGGCAGGACACCGTCTGCACGACTTGGGCGGCCTTCCATCCACCCTAGGCCCTTAATAACTTACCGTAAGCTCGTTAGCGGACTGACGTTCCGTTCCTGGGAAGAATTGACGTCCTCGTACTCGATCTTTCCATCCAGCAGTAAGCCGTCTTTCTCCAACTGCTCAAGCCTCTTTTTATTTCTCGTAGACTTTTCTTTATACGTCTCATGGGTGGCTCTTGTTCAATTTCATGCTGGATATTTTCCATTTTTGTTATTGGGGGTTTGCCAGGGTTCAGGGAAGCTGTTGATATTTGATTGTCATCTTAAGTCCAGCTGGTTGTCCACTCAGTCATCTTTGGGGTTTTTGGTGTTTTTTGTTTTTTTGTTTTTTTGGCTTTTAAAAAAATGTTTATTTCTTTATTTTGAGAGAGAGAACAGGGGAAGGGCAGAGAGAGAGGGAGAGAGAATCCCGAGCGGACTCTGCGCCGTCGTCCGCAGACCCCAACGCGGCGTCGGGGGGTGGGGGGGTTGGATCCCACAAACCGTGAGATCATGACCTGAGCCGAAATCAAATGTCGGACGCATCACTGACTGAGCCACCGTGGCGCCCCCCCTCAGGCCTCTTTGTGATTTGAGTTATCTCAGCTGATTGTTCTGAGTTTCCTGGGTAGACAATTCTATCCTTGAAAATAATGAAGATTTACTCTTTCTAATAGCTCCACACTCTTGTCTCTGGTTTGGGTTTTCTGACATTACTGGAACTTCCAGAACAGAGTTAAATAGCGGTGATGTCAGGGGCAGCCTTCGCTCAGCCATTTATCTATCTGTCGCATCCCGAGGGGAACGGTGAGGCCATTATCCCAGCTGTAAGAGGGCTTTCAGAAGCCATGAGTGTGCCTCCCCACCCGACATCCTCCTTTTCCGCCCATCTGGGACGGGGATGCTCTCCCTGCCCTGCCACCCGTCTGCACCTGCCCCTCCAGGGAGACCTTTGTGAACGGGCCGAGTGACCAGCCCTCCCTTGGAACAACCACGGCCCTCGTCTCGGGGCCCACGGACCGGGGTCTTGCCCTGCTGTGCATGCCCGGCGTGGCCACGTAGCTCATTTCTCTCTGTGAGTTTGCAGGTTCCCAGAGGCGGGGACTGGGCTTGGCGACAGCTCCCCTCCCCCAACCCCGAACGGACAAGGAAGGCCCTTGTTGTTCCTCAGACATTTTGTTCCAAAGCTGAAAAGTCCCCCGCACACGCCCCTGGCATGCACTCGGCCTGTAAACCAAGCCTGGCCCGTGGTCTGCGGAGGGGCTGGGCACAGGACGGTCAGCCCAGCCTGGGCAAAGCGGTAGGGACCTCCGGGAAGCCAGGCCACCAGAGCTGGCAGGGCTCCCCCTGCCCCTGCTTTTGTCCCCTAGGAGCCTCAGCTCGGGAATGCGTCAAAGGGAGCCCTGTGTGTGCCACCGTTTTGTCCTCTAGACCTCTGAGTGAAAGCACCCTCTGTCTTCTCTGCGTCTCACTTATGACAGCCCTGCCACCTGAGCTTTCTCCCTCCGTGTGACAAGGACTCTCCTGGAGGAGAGGAGGTGTGGAGGTCCCCCAGGCCCCGCACCCACTATGGGGGGGGGGGTTGCGGAGAGCAGACTCTGACTGAGTCGTGCGCCTAGCATCGGCCGAACACGGCATGCGACATATCGCTTAATCTTTGCTTAACCACGAGGCAGGAGCCCTCATCGTGCCCATTTCACGGATGGAAGAGCTAAGGCCAAGAGACCTGAAATAACTCGCTCGAGGGTGTAGCTAGAAAAGGCAGCAGCATCCAAACCCAGGCTGTCCTGCCCCCAGGCCAGTGCTCCTGGGTCCTACCAGAACCTGCCCAAGGTACCACCACCTGCTGGACATTAGGAAATGAGCTTGTGGGGCCACCCCAGCTCTCTGATGAGTTGAGATGCAGGGAGCAGGCACCTCCTCCCAGCTTCGTACGTTCTGACACCCTCTGCCTGCCTCCCCTGAGCCTGGTGCCCTACACGGCTAGATGCTGGCAATGAGCGGAGCCCGCAAGTCAGGCACACATCGCCAGACCGGGCGTGCACTCTGGTCGTCAGAGGGCCAGCCTTACCCTGCCAGACGGTCCTGCCCCTGCTCCAGCTGAGGTCACCGAGATGGGAACGTGCAGTGATGTGCGGTGACGTTTTGTTGTGCCACCGCACGCCACACGTGTAGCTGTGACGACAGCTCATGGTTCCATTCGCGGTCCCGAAGTCCCATTATATCCGCTTCGTGTGCCGGTCCCTCAACAGCCCTGGGATGTGCCCATCAGACCCCCCCCCCTCGATGAGTGAGGAGCCCAAAGCTCATGACAGGGCAGGGGAGGGTGTGTGTGAAGCAATTTGCTCAAATACCGAATTGTTTCCGAATCCCGAGCCCCTGCCTCCCTAAGCCTGGGGACCCAGGGTCGGACAGGGTCAGACAGCCGGGCCGGGGGCCAGGGACCCAGCAGCCAGTGGGAGCTGGGGGAGCGGCAGCCCATGTGATCTCTGTCACTCCCCAGAGGTCACCAGAAAGCGATGAAAACAGTGGCTTGCTACAGAAACGCAACATCAGCTGAATTCGCTGGTGCCACCCCTAAGTCCTTCTACGGGGACCTTCTGGTCTACCCACCTGGCTGGCCTGCCTTAAGGGTCACTTCCCGAGTGGAGTCTAACTAACCCGAGAGGGTCCTCCGGGCCTGGGGCCACCTCCTGGGATGACCTGTGGGGCCGAGATGTGATCGGAAGGGCCCCTGTCCCGGGCCGAGAAGCCTACAGACTCAGGCTGGGCCTGTGGGCCCATTTCCTGGCTTCTAGGAGGAGGTTAGAGCAGGATCCAGCGGCCCCTTCTGTAGGCTCTCCGGAACCCTGGACCACAGCATTCTCCCCCCACCCGTCAACTGGCCACTGAGGAACCTTCGAAGCCTGCCTCTGAAGCTTCCTTGGCTGGGACCTCTCCGAGGCCAGCCGCAGCCCTGGCCTTAGTGACTGTCCTCGTGTAAATGGCCACACTTTCTGGGGATGAGCGAGACCCTTGCCAAGGCACAGGAGGCCACACAGAACAAAGGGGTCACTTCTAGTGGTGCTTCAGCCAGATGTGTCATGACCAGGGCCCCTGGTGCCAAGACGCCAGTCCTGGGGACAGTCTGGGCTTCCTTCCCACCAGGGCCCCTTCTTTCAAGAGTCATGGGCCCTGCCTGTGAGTTTGACGGTCACTTTCCTCTCTCTCACCTGGAGATGGGGGCATTGGATGGCCAATATCTAGGGTCTCACCATCTGTAATGTGCTCTCCTCTCCTGACTGCAGTAAATAGGAATGATCGCCTTCCTCTGAAGGTGGATGGATCCAGGGAAGGGTGGGTGAGGGGCAGTGTCCCAGGGGCCAGCACCTGGCATTTACGCCCATGTTCTCATTGGCTCCTCTTAACGAACAGTGATTTGGGTGCCGAACAGGGCTCAGAGGGACTAAGTGATCTGTGCAGGTCTAAGCCCAGCCTCCCTGTGTGGCCCTGCAGCATCGGCACCAGGCCACTCTCTGAGCATCACCTTATGGTCTCAGTCCCCAAGGAGCGAGGTGGGCTGGTCTCCAGAGGACTGGACCCTAGAATTTAAGGGCTCCAGGGACCCCGTGGGGCAGTGGCTCGCCTACCGGCTCGTGCTCAGCACGGCCGAAGCAGCTATGTGCCCAGGCCCCAGCGTGGCCCTCCTCGTTCGGAGTGTCTGGGCGTCAGGGTGCCCTGGCTGGGACCAGGTGGCTAGACGTGGCCTCCTTGGCCTGCCGGCACCCTGAACAGAAAAGCATCCTCCTGGGGAAAGTGATTCGCTTTTGAAAATTGCAGGAGGCTCCAGGGAGGGAGCTGCTCCCACCCCAGTGACTGTTAACAATTCCCCTGGCCCTTACCTGGGTTCTCCCGGCTGCGGCGGGCTCTGGGGAGCTCCCCGGGATGCCCCGAGAGCTTTTCTCACCCTCAAAGGGGTGGAGGCTGTCCAAGGAGCTCCCTCTGTGGGTCCCCATGTGAGTCATTCAGTGGCACACTCACTCCACAAACATTTGTTTAGGGCTTGCCATGTGGGCTCCGAGTCAGCTTTCTTGGGCCAGATCCCAGCTGGGCCCATTTTCCGTGTGGCCTTCGGCAATGATTTGACCCAGGTGCTCAGAAGCACCAGCCTCCTGGGCTGGCAGAGGCGTGGGTGAGCTCAGGCCTGCAGGGGGTGAAGCTTGGGGTAGGCACCCTCAGCCCAGGCGAACCCGAGGAAACGGTGGCCACTGTTCGCCGGGGCAGCCAGGAGCCCCGAGGGCCAGAGGGGCTCAGCTTTGGGGGCCCAGGGTGCAGACTGACAGGAGAGGGGCGGTGGCCGCCGAGCGGTGGGGGGGGGGGGGCACGGGCGGCCGGAGCCTGGGGGTGATGGATGCTCATGCTCTCTCCGCTCCCCTCAGTACGGCAAGAAGAAGCTGAAATACCTACCTTACAATCACCAGCACGAGTACTTCTTCCTGAGTGAGTGCCGGGGCGCACCCCACAACCACACCCCACAAGGGCCATCTATCCGCTCTCACCCGACACCCCTTCGGACCCAGAAATTGCCCCCAAGCCTGTTAGAGCAGGAGGGGCCCCGGCAGTAAACGGCATCCCCAGCAGATGGCACCTGGCCCGTGATACGGATGGGGCACAGACCCAGGGTCCCGCACTCGGCGGGGGGGGGGGGAAGGGGGGGTCCCAGACGGAGGGGAGGGCGGGGTGGGGGTGGGGAGCGTCTGCTCCACCTCTGCTCCTCGGGCACAAGTCGCCACCTCTGCCTGTGAGCTGCAGGGCTGGGCCCCCCATTCAGGGCTCGGCCCGACTCCCGCCCCCGGACGGTCCAGGCTCTGAGCACCTCTGTTCTCCCCGCAGTCGGGCCACCACTGCTCATCCCTGTGTACTTCCAGTACCAGATCATCATGACCATGATCGCACGCAGAGACTGGGTGGTGAGTCAAGGGGTACAGCTGGCCAAGGGTGTGGGGGGCACACAGGGGCAGGTGGGCCCAGGGGCCTGCCCTGTCCCCCCTCGGGAGGGGGGGCTGTCTTGTCACTCTCAGGAAAGGACCTCCTTTGAGGCTCCCAGGAACCGAGGAGACCACAGCGCCCCAGCCTCACACATTTCCCCCCTACACACACACACACACACACACACACACACACACACAGCGGGGGCAGTGGGAGGCCACCGCTTTTGCAGAGCTCCCTCGGAAAGTTCCCAAAGGTGATGTGATGAGAGCCAGACTCGGGCCACCTGTCCACCGCTCCAGCCACTGCCTCCCGTGCAGCCCCGAGACCCCGTGAGCCAGGGCACACCATGCTCCGCGTGGTGAACAGAGAGCCGCCGGGCGCTGGCTCAGATGACAGGTGCATCCGGTTGCTACGGCCGTGCAAGAAAGGAGCACAGACTGAGTGGCAGCTGTGTCCCACCACAGAGGGGTCGCTTTCGCAGTTCTGGGGGCTAGCAGCCAGAGGTGGCGTGTTGGGGATGTAGATCCTTCCGAGGGCTGTTAGGGAGGACCTGGTCCCGGCCAGTCTCCTTGGCCTGTGGACAGCCGGGTCCCCTGTGGGTGTCTCTCATCGTCTTCCCTGTATGCACCTGTATCTGTGTCCAGATTCCCCTTGGCGAAGAATGCCGGTCACAGTGAATGAGGGCCCACCCTGTGGACCCCAGCTTAGCTGATGGCATTTGCAGCGACCCTAGCTCCAGACAAGCTCACGGGAGGCCCTGGGAGCAGGGTTTCAACGTACGCATTTTAGGGGGACACAATCCAGCCTGTCACATCGGGCTTGGCAGAATCTCCAGATTCTGCGTCCAGAGAGAGCCGTCCAGCGCGGCCCACGCCCCGGCCGTTGGCTTTACGTAGACGTGCAGGCGTGATTCTATGTACAAGGTTGATAGAATGACCCAGATGGAGCCATCCCCACTGGCAGAGCCTTGACTGTGGCAGAGTATGGCTCCCTGGGACTGGGAGGGGGCCCCTGCCCTGGAGGCCAAGTGGAGGCGCACGTAGGTATTGCTGGTCTTTTTTTTTTTTTTTTAACCCAGTTTCAAAAATTGAGAATATTAGACCCTTGAGAGTTTGGGACTTGCCCAGGGTGACACCAAGCGGGGGGGGCCCCCCGGGGGAGGGTCTGGCACTAGAACCCAGGCCCTGTGTTCTCCCCTTACATCAGCCCCCAGTCTCTCTCAAATACTACCTCTTGTTTCTATGGCATTTGAACGGCTTCCGAGTACTTTGCCTTAACCTCTCTCGTTGAAATTGTGAGACAGGGGCCACGCCTGTTGATTCTGCTAAGGTCCAGGGCTGGGACCCAGGAGGCGTTGGGGTGGTCCGGGAGGCAGTAGATTCTGGAAGTCTCTGCCAGCCCTGTGTTGGCAGAACCTGTACCGCCCGCTTCTGGGACATGAGATTTTTCCGGAAGCGAGCGTCTCATCAGTACTTACCGTGTTCCAGGAACAGTTCAGCGTGGCCACCTACATTATGTTGTTTTACCCTGGTTTATGAGTTAAATGGCACAGGCTGTAGGATTGGAGTTTCTGGGTCAGTTAAACCGTGGGAATTTGAACCCACACCTCCCGCCTGCGGAAACTGCTGTTTCCCTTGGGGACCCCGGGCTCTGGAAGGGATCACACAGCTGAAAAGGAACTTGAGCCCTGCCGTGTGGGGTTTCGCGGTGCTGCTGGAGGTATTTTTTTTTTTTAAGTCTATTTGTTTATTTTGAGAGAGGGGCAGGGGAGGGGCAGAGAGAGAGAGAGAGAGAGAGAGAGAGAAAGAATCCCAAGCAGGCTCCGTGCTGTCAGCACAGAGCCCGATGCGGGGCCTGAACTCACCAACCATGAGATCATGACCTGAGCTGAAATCAAGAGTCGGACACTTAACCAACTGAGCCACCCAGGCACCCCAGCTGCTGGGGGTATTTTAACCAGCTTTCATGGCAGATGACTCCTGCCTGAATATTTCCTTTTTTTTTTTTTTTTTACCGTCCTTGTTCCCCAAGGGACAAAGTACTTGATAAGGACAGCAGGAAAGGAAATGAGGCTACGTACCTCAATGGGATCAGGTGGCAGAACCAGGGGAATATGATAGGACCCCTCAGGGCCCTGCCCTTGACCCTGCTGGGGAGTCGGGTTCAAGCTGGGTGAGAGGGACCGGCCTCCAGCCTCGGGCTCCTTCTACAAAACAGGAGCTGACTGCGGTCAGGTCCGGTGCTGGGGATTCAGGGCAGTTAAGATCCAGGGCCACGCCTGGGGTCCATGACTGCACAGGGCATGGGACAGACTTGTGTCCTGCAGGGGCTTGGGGCAGTGGCTTGGGGCAGTGGTCCGCCGCAGGAGCGGTTCTGCTGGGCCAACTGGCAATATCTGGAGACATTTTTGGTGGTCACAACTCGGGGGAGACAGTGCGACTGGCATCTGGTGGGCACCTAGCCAGGGACGCTGCTAAACGTCCTGTCACGCACGGGTCAGGCCCCCGCGGTAGAGAGTTAGCCCCAAAGGCGGTCGGTCGTGTAGAGGATGAGAAATCCTGGCTTGGAGGGGAGGGCTTGAGACACTGTCAGAGCTTCAAGGAGAGAGGTGTTTACTCTCCAGCAATGTTGCCCATCACCATATCCTGGAGGTTCTGGGTCCGACGCCACGAGCCACTCCTGAGATTCTCTCCGTCCGCGTCCGCGTCCTACCACTGCTGGTTCTCCTCCCCGTGCTTCCCTGCCCCTGACACCAGTGGTCCTGTGGTCATGTGTCCCTCTGCACAAAAAGAAAGAAGCACGCACCTCATTCATATACATGTACTTTTTTTTTTTTTTAATTTTTAAAAAGTGTTTATTCATTTTTGAGAGACAGACAACGCGCTAGTCGGGGAGGGGCCGAGGGAGAGGGAGACGCAGACTCCGAAGCAGGCCCCAGGCTCCGAGCTGTCAGCACAGAGCCCCACACGGGGCTTGGACCCACAAACCGCGAGATCATGACCTGAGCCGAAGTCGGACGCTTAACAGACTGAGCTGCCCAGGCAGCCCCAATATACACGTACTTTCTACTGTACCACGAACACACACAAGAGATGAAAATGAACGTGATGGAAAAGTTGGAGCAGAACCCGGAATGCTCGCTTCTCCCACCGCCTTCAAGACCCCTCGCTGGATCCCAAGGTCGTGCCCTCCTGGCCTCCCAGCTGCTCCCCTCTGACTTTCCTGCTCAGCCGATGGCACCAGTGCAGGGACCAGCTGGGATTCCTCACGACCAACCAGTCCTCAGATGTGCCTGCCTCCACCTCCTAAATCCTTCTGGAATCTGTATCTCCTCCTTGGGACTGGGGGCCCTGCTTCGAGTCTCCATCACTTCCTGTCTCAGCTACCGAAATAACCTAACCCCTCCATCTCCAGTTGGCAGGGATCTATTTTAAGATTCAAATGGGACTGTGTTCTTCCGATGTGTAAACCTCTCAGGAGTTTTCTGTTGCCCGAGAGGTAGAAGTCAGTGTCCCAAGGCAGACGGGACCTGGTGTTGTCTCCTGCCCCCACGGCGAGCACTTGGGCTGTAGCACATGGGACGTAAGATCTGCATATAAACCCAGCCCCTGCCCCCCGCTCACCTCCCCACCCCCGCGCACCCCACCATCTCTCCTGTCTGGGCTTTTTTTCGTATTGTCTTTCTGCAAATGTCTCCTACAGTTCTTTGCTTGGCTGCCCTCTGGTTTGTCCCAGCCCAGCTCAGGCCCCTGCCTCCTAAGGAAGACCTTTCCTAAATCTGAGGATTGTGTCAGGACCCCACCCAGTGCTCCCCATTGCTTCTGTCACCTTCCATCCAGACGCGGGGCTCGTGAAGGACCTCCTTTTGCTCCTAGCACCCAACTCAGCCTCTGATAGAGAGGAGGCATTCAAGGAGGAGCCTAGCCGGACTGGGTGGCTCAGTCGGTTGAGCATTTGGCCTCAGCTCAGGTCATGATCTGGCGGTTCGTGAGTTCGAGTCCCGCGTCGGGCTCTGGGCTGACAGCTCAGAGCCCGGAGCCTGCTTCAGATTCTGTGTCTCCCTCTCTCTCTGCCCCTGCCCCGCTTGAACTCTGTCTCTCTCAAAAATAAACATTACAACGACAACAATAGTCAGACATAGGATGAGTTGGCCAAGCAGACGGGGAGAAGGAGCCTCCAGGTGGGTGCAGCCTGGACGCAGACCCTGGGCCAGGTCAAGAGACTGGCTGCATGAGGAGGCCAGGTCGGTGGGCAGGCATGTGAAGGGCCCATGCGCCCTACCCAGAGGCTAGGGTTTATCTAGTGGGGGACGGGGCGAGTGGTGGCTTTGGGGGTGGCAGTGTCATGATCCAAGTTGCGTGTTAGGAAGATCTCCATGGTGACAGTGTGCAGGGACTGGATTGGAGTCGTTCAGAGCTTATACTTGCACGCTTCACTTACTGTTGTAATACGTGGTCAACCCACGTCCAACCTCGGTGGGAGGTTCTCTCCCTGTCCTGCAGATGAGGACACAGAGGCACAACTGGATGAGTCACCCACAGCTATACAGAGCCAATGGTGGAGATGGGACTCACACAGGCAGCCCCACTTAGAGGCCGCGCTGAGTCTCTGGAGAGGAAAAGTGATGGGGGAGAGCAAACCGTGCAAAGGCCCTGGGGTGGGAATAAGCTGGGTCAGGGTGGCTGGAGAGAGAGTGGTCCCTGATCCTGCAGAGCTCTGCGGGAGAAACAGGTTCTGCTCGGGGCTGAGAAGGTGGCTCTGGTTGCCATGGTGCACGAGGAGAAGCAGGAGACCGATGGGAGGCATGCGGACTCGGGTCGGGTTGCAGCGAGGCAGTGGAGAGAGAGGGACCCGTTCCACAGAGCGCCTACCCGTGGGGCTGCCGTGGAGTGTAGAGCAGTGGGGACAGCCGAGGGAGGCACTTGCCCAGTGAGAGAAGACAAGCAAGCTTGCGATGCTGTTGTCACCTTGGCGAGGGGCAGGCCGGGAGAGGGGACAGGAGGAGAATCAAGTGTGTGGAGAGGACCAGCAGAGTCAGAGGCTGCTGGGAGGGCCTTTACGTGGAGGACGGACGGTATCGCTGGCCTTTGTCCTGCAGGGAAGGAGATCCCGGGTCCCAATGGGAGGACACGGCTGCAGGGCAGCTGTGGGGGCCAGTATATGCACCTTCAGAATCCCCGGGACCAGAAAGGGGCTGTTCCTTGGCTGGCGTCTCCTGCTCCCCGCCCTGTTTCTTTCCCTGAAGCAAAGCACCCAGGCCCCTCCTGCTACACACACATTCAGCATTTCCCCGGAAACAAAGACGGCCACCAGCCCTGTGCGAGCAAGCATCGCATCCTCCGCGGGCCTGGTGCCCCACGTCCCGAGGCCACCTTTGCCTAGTGCGGCGCGTCAGGGGCTGTGGGCACACGTGTGATCAGGATGCGGCCCCTGGGAGGACGGCTGTCCCACATCTCATCTCGTTCTCTGTGCAGGACCTGGCCTGGGCCGTCAGCTATTATGCTCGCTTCTTGCTCACCTACAGCCCTTTCTATGGCATCCTGGGGGCTGTCCTTTTCCTCAACTTCATCAGGTACCTGAGCTTGGCCTTGACAGGGCTTCGACACGGGGGGGCTCCGTGCGGAAGGGCTCAGAGCTCCCCACTTCCTGCCCTGGGCCCCACGACGTGGCGCCTCGGCAAGGGCCGTGGCTCACCCCCCCCCCCCCCCCCCCCCGGGGCCCCCCCCCCCCCCCCCCCGCCCCCGCCCCTGCCCCGGGCCGTCTGTGGCTAGGGGAGAGGCTCTCTTCCTGCCATGGCTGGGCCCCATGGGCAGCAAGACTCCGTGGCTCCTGCGCTGAGCCGGACTGTCTTCCAGGTTCCTGGAGAGCCACTGGTTTGTGTGGGTCACGCAGATGAACCACATCGTCATGGAGATCGACTGCGAGCCTTACCGTGACTGGTTCAGCAGCCAGGTGAGGGCAGCGGAGCTGGTCACCGGGGCCCCACGGCGTGTGCGGGTCCATTTCCCGGCCTCCAGAACTTGGCTGCCCCGTGCGCCCGGTGGGACCTCCCTGGGGCTGCCTGTGGCCTCCCACTGGGAGGGCTGAGGTCTCTAGGCAGGGCCGTGCGAGAGGGAGGGGTGGGCCTCACTCTCCCTTCCGCTCCTGGCCTCTCGCCCCCTCCCCTCTGCAGCTGGCTGCCACCTGCAACGTGGAACAGTCCTTGTTCAATGACTGGTTCAGCGGGCACCTCAACTTCCAGATCGAGCACCAGTGAGCGCGGGCGGGCAGGCGGGCCGGCGGGGAAGGTGGGTGGCACAGGGAGGAGGCCACCAGCCCCATTCGGGCTCGGGCAGCACCTCGGGGCGACCTCTCTCCCTCACCCTGGCCAGGCTCCCTCCAGAGCACCGAGCTCCGCAGCTGAGGTCAGGGAGGGGCTCGCTCTGCACCGGGGACGGCCACCCCTCACGTGTGGCCCAAGCTTTGTGATTCGAGAGCTTGTACCGGCAGCCTCCCTCCATCCTGTAAGCCCACAGGGCAGGGGGATCGATCCCTTTGCTGACAGGGGAGCCGAGGCCCAGCTGGGCCCCACCGCCCGAGTGCCGGCTCCTCTGGGGGCACAGCGGGAGAGCCCTCACCCTGGCCCTGCTCCCCCCAGCCTCTTCCCCACCATGCCCCGGCACAACTTCCACAAGGTGGCCCCGCTGGTGAAGTCTCTGTGTGCCAAGCACGGCATCAAGTACCAGGAGAAGCCACTGCTGAGGGCCCTGCAGGACATCATCAGGTAAGGGGGGGAGGCCACGGGTGCTGGGGCCCAGGGCCAAGACCAGCTATTGACAGCTGGGGACTGACCACAGCAAGGGGGCTGCGCCCTGCCAGAGCAGGCGTCCCCACCAGGCCACCTCCCTTACTAGGGATGGCCTGGCTTCTCTCTGGGCTGGCTGAGGACCTTCCCTTTGTCCTTCCTAGGTGGGGGGGGGGGGGGGGGGGGGGCCCCCCCCCCCCCGGGCGCCGCCCCCCCCCCCCCCCCCCCCGCGCCGGCGGGGGGGGGGGGGGGCCCGGGGGGGCCACCCCGCCCCTCCTGGGCCCTGACTGTCCCCTCCTCCTCCCAGGTCCCTGAAGAAGTCCGGGCAGCTGTGGCTGGACGCGTACCTCCACAAATGAAGCCTTTGGGGCGCCCACGGGGAAGGGGGAGCAGGTGGCAGTGCTGGCCACGGGGTGGGGGGTGGGCTTTTGTTCCGAGGGGTGTCCGCGAGGCCGGGGTACACGCTGGCCCACAGACCCCATTTTTGGTCTTTCTCTCGTTTTCCGTCTCCTCTTTCCCTTCACTTCTCGCCCTCATGGGGCTGCCCTCTTGTCAGGCGGCCCCTCCCCCTCTCCTCCCCGCCCCCAACCCCAGGAGCAGAGAGAGGTGCTCCGTCCCAGCCCCCACCTCCTGCCCCTAAACTTCTGTCGGGCCAGAGGTCCACAGATGCGGCCCGCGACACACCCGCCTCCCCAGCCTTGCTGCCTGGCCTCTGGGCCTCACGCCTCCTTTTCTGCCTCAGATGCTCTTGGGGTCCGTGGGGCGGGGTCCTCGCTGGGCGCGATGCTCTCCCCGGCCCTGCAGGCCCCGCCGCCTGTGTCAGCCGGTGTCAGGGAGCCTGTGTCCTCCTCGTTCCCGTCTCCCGCCCAGCCCACGCTGGGACCACCGGTGCTCGGGGCCTCCCTGCCGGTGCCACCTCTCTCCGGATGTCCAGGGTCCTGGCCCGCCTCCCGACTGCCTTTGCCTGAGCAGCGCAGCCAGCTCAGACCCCCCGGGGCCTCAGGAAGTGTCCTTGCCCCTCCAGTGCCCTCTGACCCAGGGCTTGTGCTGTTCCACCCCACGTCTTCCCAGCCGCACGGCCTGTGACCTCGGGTCCGAGGGGGCAGTCCTGAAGGTGGGTTCAGCGGAGGCCCGTGGCCAGGTCAGGCAGGTCCTGTCAGGTCCCAGGAGCTTCAGCCTTGTGCCCCGCCCACCCTCTTCGGGCTGGGAGACCTAAGATTCTGGAGCTATGGACCCCTTCTCCAAAGTGCTCCCTCACCCGCCAGGCAGCTCCAGCCGGTCTCTCCGCTTGGCCAAGTGGCCTGGGGCCTTTCCAGCTGCAGGAGGGCGCCCGAGGGAGGCCTCACGCAGCCCCTCCCCCGAGTTGGGGCTGCCAGTGTGGACATGTTCACACTGTCTTCCACTCTCCCATCTTCTGGTGTTTTTAACCTTTTGTTATACGGTACATTCCGACAGGCAGGTGGCAGCAGGGCTGGGCCTTGTGACAACTTTTACCACCTGCCCCTCACCGCCTCCCCAGGCCCCGCAGTCGGCTGAGCCGGGCTCCCTCACTCAGCCCACGGTGGCCCTGACTGCGGGGGGCTGCTGGGGCCGCTGCTGTCGTCGAGGGGGCAGTGGGGGCACAGAGGGAGGCAGTCCCGGAGGAGGTGACCCTGAGCAGCTGGGCGGGGGCGGGGGGGTGGTGCAGGGGGGGGGGACTGGGAGGGAGGTCTAATGAGGGCCAAGTAAACACTGCAACTAGGCGTTTGGGGCTGGAGGCCAGGTGGCCGAGGGGATGGGAAGTGAAAGGGAGGAGGCCTCCGGCCTGGGGCATTCGGAAATCTAACCCACTAACCAATATTTAGCATCAGGGGAGGGGAGCAGAAGCAAGCTCAAAGTGGGGGCCTTTGGGGGAAGGCTGTAGTCCCCCAGCTCTGGCCAGCCAGGGGGGGACCAGCCTCTAGTGTGACAAACCTCCGGCTTGCCATGGCAGCGTCGGCCCGCGGCGGGCCCCCCCCCCCCCCCCCACTGAGAACGCGAGGCCCAAGGAGCTGTCCCTCCCCCAGAGACAGAATGGACCCATAGGGAACTGATCTTAATTTTTACCATGTTGTTCCCCTGCTCCCCCTACGTTTTTTGGAAATAAAAGTAATTTTATTCTCACTTCCTTGATCAGCGGATGACTTTATGAGTGTTAATGCTGGGCAGGGTGTCGGGATTGGAGGAAGGGGCTTTGCAATCAGGGCCCGGGGCACCAGGGAGGAGGCTCCTGCTGACACAGGCGGCCTTTTCCCTGTCCCCTCCCCAACTGCAGTCACCCCACCTCCGCCCCCTGCCGCCTCTGTTCTGGAGAGAACTTCTCTCCCCTCCCCTTAAGTGCATTCACACAAACCCAACTCCAGACGTGGCCACGGGAGCCACAGGAGGCTTTCTGGAAGGTCTCTGGAGGGCAGCAAGGAGGAGCTGCCCGAGGCCACCTTCCTGCCATCCCCATCTCTGTCCCCAGTTTATCCTCAGACCAGCTGTCTGCCCACAACCTCACCAGTCAACTGGCTTCTGCCAGACTCCCTTCTCCCCATTTCCTGGTCGGTGCACAGAGCCCCGGGGGCAAAGAAACTCTCAGAAGGGGCTTTGGAAAGTCCTGGAGACCTACGCTTCCGTCTTGTGGCCCGTGCCGTGGCTCATTGGGTCCCCACAACCTGGGGAGACAGCCATGCCATCTCAGTCCAGGGCCACCGGCTCAGAGGCAATGGCAGAGACTGAGTCCCACGCCTGGGAAAAGTCCAAAGGGATGTGCCAGGGGCCCTTGCTCAGTTTGCCTCCCATGCTGCTCTGCTCCCCCGCTTCTGGGTAGGCTCAGTTGGCAGGTCAAGCCAGGTGTGCCAGGAGAGGGCCAGGAAGTTCAGCACAGCCAGCACCTCAGGGGGCTCCCCATTTAGCCTTGCATCTCCTAGCAGGGCTGGGGAGGGGTCCAGAGTAGACCCTCGTCCCCCTCTTGCTTTCCCCATGACTTCAGTATAGCCAGCAGTGACAGCCAGGTGTCCCGAGTGGGGTGTGTGTATGTCCCCAGTGGGTGCAGGGACCCTGCAGTAGGACCCAGGATTGCAGAAGGAGGCCTGAGCCAGGAGGCAGAGACCCACCGAGTGGCCTTGGGGGGAGTCCTTTGCCCCTATTCTCTGGGCCACATTTGTCTATTGAAGGCACCGGGCTACAGTGATCTGACCTGCGAGCCCTTGCCCTGGCCCTTCTGGGAGACCCTTTAGAGGCTCTTGAGGCTGAAAGACCGTGAGGAACACACTTCCCATCCCTCTCACCTGGGCCTGTGTTCCACCTCCTGCCTAGGCTGGGTGTGGTCCCCTGTGTCCCAGGTGGCCCTACCACCCCACCGGCTGGAAGCCCAGGGTTCATCACCTATGACAGCCTGGCTCCTGGGGAAGGGGAGAGTGGTGGTGGGGTGGCAGTGGGGGGCGGCTGATGGGCTAGGCGGACGCTGGGGCTATGAGGGCACCCGCTAAACCTCGGCTCAGGTCAGTGGGCATGTGGAGCTTCTCTGTGACTCCTTCCCACCACACCGTCCTTGACCTGAAGTATTACCCTTGGGGCAAGAAGCTGGGGACGCCCATACCTGCTCTCTGCCTAATTGCTTCTCCTGTCCCCGGACCTGGCAGAGAGAATCATGGGGGTCGGAACCCCACCCCCTGCCAAAGTCATGACACCCTCACATTCAAGGCCCTGAGTGATAAGACTGGAAGCTTCCATTCACAGGTGAGGCTGGGATGGGAAGGGAAGGGCCTGGCCTGAGGCCACTTGGTGGCAACAGCTGGGTCCCTGCTCCTCACCCAGCACTCTGCCTGGGCATCTTCTTCGCTTCCTTGAGGGAAAGGCTGTCTCCCAGAACAAGGCACCTCCCCACCCCCACCCCCCCGACACACACACCATGTCAAATGCCAGTCCACTCCCGAGAGGCCAGGCAGCTGTCTAGGGGGGACAGCAGGCCGAGTCCTTGCGGAGAGGAGAGCACACTCCCAGCAAGGTGGCCACCCTGGTGAAAAGTATCAGTTTGCTGGGTGGCCCGGGCACGTGCAGGGTGCCAGGCCCCAGAGGAGGGGTCAGCAGAGCAGCCCGGCCTGTGCGTGCTCCTCGAGCCCCAGAGGTGGTCAGTGCCCTGACAAGTTCCTTAGGCCTCTGGTGGGACCCTCAGAAACCCTCTTGGCCCACTGGGAGGAGAGAGGAGGCCTTTGGTGACAAGGGGCAGGGCAGAGGCGGCAGCCCTGGGCCCGGATGGCCCTTGGGAGCCATCGGCCACTGCTCATGAGACACGGTGCTTTGGACCAATCAGGACTCCTCAGCTGTCCCAGCCGCACCATCCCCAGAGAGGTGTGCCCCTCTGGACAGGACATAACTTCTCAAAGAATCCTTGCTCTGACAGCTGACACGCGGAAATGATAGGCTGTGGACCCCAGGAGTGCCCACAACCACTTGCGAAGAAACTGAAGCCCCTGGGGCACCTGGGTGGCTCAGTCAGTTAAGGTTAAGCATCCCAGTTAAGCGTCAAGTTCAGGTCACGATCTTGCAGTTCGTGAGTTCAAGCCCCACATCAGGCTCTGTGCTGACAGCTCAGAGCCTGGAGCCTGCTTCGGATTCTGTCTCTCTCTCTCTCTCTCTCTGCCCCTCCCCTGCCTCTCTGAAACATAAACAAACATTAAAAAAAAAATTTTTTTTTTTTTTAGATAAGAGACTGAGGCCCGGAGAGGTCTGGAGATCTGGAGCTCTCTTGGCCGCATTTGACATTTCTAACCAGACTGGCCCAAGCATACACACAAGGGGCCACCTAGCATGCTAGCATTTGAAGGCCACGTCTCTATGGTCCTCTGCCATTATAAATGTGTTTCTTTGTATTTTGAAGGCATTTAGTTCTTTCTTCCAAATTCAAGGGCCAGTACCCAGGAGAATTAGTGACAGGTCCCGAGAGCTTGGAAAGGACCAAGCAGAAGAGGCGGCCAGGTGCTCTAGGACGTGTCAAGGGAAGGGGAGTGTGGGAAAGACCAGTGAAAGACAGTGACCTGTCCTGTCCCAAAAGAGTCCGTTCATAACTGGGACCAGCCATTCCCAACATCACAGGCAGGGCTGGTACTTGTGAATCTCCTTTTCCGCCATCTGCCCGGGCTGTGCAGATGTAGGCAGATGGTAAAGCAGGGATACGGGGTTTCTTGGAGGCTCTGCCAAGGCCCTTCCTTCCTTCCTTTTACAAACCTAGCCCACGCTCCCTAGGTTTTTGTTCCATGACTGCATAAGGCATCTGATAAGGGGGAGCTCAGCCCAGGAGAGGGGTGATGACCTATCCCCAGAGGTTCTAGCATGGGGGACAGAGTGGAACAAGGATAAGGATGACCCGCCAGTGAAGGATTTCAGGCAATAAGGAGAGATCGGTGGCTACTTGAGGCCAGGCGTCTTGCCAAAGCGTCCTCGGAGGAGGAGGAGGTCCCTAGGCAGCCACCCATTTGCAGGCGGAGAGCACTCCCCACGGCCACCACCAGGGGCAGCATGGAGCGTGGCCTGCCCCACAATGGTGCAGATACTCTGGCTGCCCCTAGGTGGCGTTGCAGGCTCAGCCTTCCCCCCGGTGGGGACTGCTGCCCTCAGGTCTGTCCCTCCGAGCCACTGCAGGAAATGCCGCGATTGTACAGGAGATGGAGGGAATGCCATCCCGGGCCCGCATGGCACCGCTCAGACAGCCACGGGCTTGTCCCAGGTCAGGGCAGGTGGGGCCCCAGGGTGTAGGGCTTCGTGCATAAAACTTTTTACATTTCAGAGGCCTGTTGCCAAGCCCTATGCAAAGAGCCTTCCATACAGCATCCCTTTTACCTTCCGTCACCCTCGGGGATCATACTACCGCTCAGAGAGGTTGAATAACTTCCACAAGGTCACGCAGCTCTGAGTCCAGGCAGAGGTGGGACTAGTCCCCTGGTTTACGGGACTCCGGAGGAGAGGAGGGTGGGAGCTGCATGGGATAT